GACCTATACAATTTTTTTTCCTTTTGATTTTTTACCTGGATTACTGAGATGCATCAGGGCAGCCTATATGGTTTTGTGTCATTTTTGTATCATTACACAGACTGAAATCTTGATTTGTTTGTCTTGTACAGATAACTTTCATATCAGCGCTCATCATTTAGGACATGACAGATCAGCAGGTGTTTACACAGTTATCCTGCTGATATAATGAATTTTAGCAGTGATCAGCTGAGGGATTCAGGCAGTCTCCATTATTACTGAATGATGCACAGAAAATCATAACTCATTATTTTGAGGAAACGAGGAAACAATGGAAAAAAAATATATGTGGAAAATGGCCACTCTAGGCTTCCGTAAATCTCAGGTCAGAATTCTGAGATTAAAGTCAGGTTGTTTTTTTCCCCCAATGGCCCTAATCCTCTTTCGAATTATAATATACAGTTACTAAATAAATAAATAAAAAGTTTAGAAGTTAATTAGTGACTGATCATTTTTCCAGTTTCTGTGAATCGTACTAAGTAATTGAGGACTCCCTCGAAAGATCTGTTCACAAACTAGTTGCAGCTCATTGAGTTAAAGGTTTTAATAATGTTTTTCTCCTGTGGGACCCTTTTAGTTTAAATTACTAACTAAGTGATTCAAAGAAATCATCTTAACCTTTAGAAAAACGAATTTCTTGGGTTATTTATCAGCCAATCAAATATTAAAAAAAACATGTAAATATATGCGTAGGTTATTATTAAAACTAGCTAACTTTTACGTCTTTAGGATAATATTTCAAATAAAAACTTTTAAATTCTGTATAGTGAGTTAAACAGGTTTTACTCTGTAATCTGTGTAAGAGAGGAGTGAGTCTGTTCGTATTTCGCCACAGGTGAGACTTTCCAGCAGTGGTTTTATCTTCCTCTCCTGCTCGTCTTCATGGCTGCAGGTTCGGCCGGGTGTTTTGGATAAAAGCATCCTCCAAATTGCACRGAGTTGTTCACTTATCTCTGAAAATCCATGAGGAGAAGCTCTTCCACCTGAACAAGCTGTTCATCTGATAAAACCTTTTCCACTGATAATGTGGAAACCTACATTTAACACCACCTACAAGAAGAACGGGTCAAAGTCYCACCTGCATGATTTATTAATGACGGGGGATGGGGGGGTGGGGGGTGTCTATTATCACTGCTGGTAGTAATTAAAACTGCAGCTTTAATTATTGTCAATTCGGTGTGAATATATTAAAGTCATCTTCATGTCTGAACAGTGATAAATTTAATTAGTTTAAAAACAGCAGGTTATTTCATCTATAAAACTGAATATCACAAATCAATTAAATGCCATTCTGATAGCCTTTGAT